CTTTGATGTTGAAGTTGGCAGTTGAAATCCGCTAAATATCCTCCTACGACCTTCCAAATAACAACTTAACATCTAGTGTTCCATGTGGTTGTTTGGAAGGTCGCGTGGAACAGTGGGCGGGCTCAATGGGGTTGGGGCGGCGCCAATGCTCCAACCTAGGCTCCTAGCGCCTAAACCTTGTCAAATCGCCCCGCCACTTCTGCACATGGTCTGCCCTTGCGTACTGCTGCATATTTGACGGGGAAAACCTAAATTTCGCCAGAAATCCCGATTTTTGCCTTTAATTGTGTGGAGCAATGCGCTGGCCCTGGTCAAGAACATAACACAGTGTGACCCAACAAAAAACTCACCTTGAAAGCCGCTAGAAAGGGAGCTGAACAGCTTCGAAGTGGGCGTGGTTGTGCAGTCCCTCGGCCGATTCCAACCACGCCCACTTCGAAGCCGTTCAGCTCCCTTTCTAGCGGCTTTCCAAGGTGAGTTTTTTGTTCAGTCACACTTCTTATGTTCTTGACTAGGGCTAGCGCATCGTTCCACACCATTAGTGTCAAAGGTAAAAACCCTGCTGGGACTGTTGCTTTAAGTTCAAGCCAGTGAGTAGTAATTGACCGACCTCGTAGGGACGAAATGCTTGGTTGTACGGGGCGAGATTCTATCCGGAATTTGATCGCCGCAATGTGCGCCCAGAAACGGGCCCCACTTAATCAAAAGTTGAAATAGCAAGGTAGCAATAATAAGTAAAAATAGTAGTAATTAAATAGGATGGTCGGAAGATTACTGATATAGAGGTAATTGTCGTAGTTTCAAAGAGTCTCATGTGAAACCAAGAAAGCTAAATAGCTATGAAATGAAGAAAATATTCATATGAAAAAGCTTCTGAGATTGAAGGATTTTGATGAGTCAATTTCAGCAATATTATCCTGTGGATACGTATGGTGCGTGCAGTGCAAAAGAACCAACGTGCGAACGTGGAGGTTACTGTGAGGCGATGCTGGATACACAGTAAGCGCCTACATGGCATGGTTAGCTACAGTCCGGGTCAACGGAGTCGGACAACAAGGGTGATATCTAGCAATGGGATCGTTTATCTAAAAGAGGCGACAATAGAAAACTTGGGAAGTGGATGCGTTTCTGCGACATTTGCAGGAACCTCAAAAGCTCTATAAATCCATCGGAAGGGCTTAAAAACTCCATGAATCGCAAATCGAAAGAGCAGAGATCGCCGTTTTATTAGTCAGGTGTGGACCCCTTCCCTCTTTTTAGTTTAACTTAACGCACTTTTGTGTTTTTGAAGCGGAGCTGGAAGGATGTCAGGATGAGCCAGGCTCAAGGACATCATCAACACCATCCAAGTGTCTAGTGGAAGTAAAAACTAGTGATGGTCGCTTATCTGGAACCAAATTGGTCCCAGTCAGCCGCCAAGACGTCTCTTCCCTGCGTAAGCTTTACGGCTTTCGCTGTGGTCCCTTCCACTTGTAGCCATAACTCCTCGTGGAGCTTACGTAAAAAAAGAATTTGATATGTAGAGGGCATTATCATAACTATGGCAATGGCTTGGTTGCGAGAATACCCCCGTCGGCTATATAAGCACCTACTTTACCAGCTCTCGGTTCCACATGGTGCTGCAGTGGTAGCTGGAGAGCAGTGAGGGGAGAATTTAGGCAGGAGAAATTAGACCTTAGTTCCTCCCGTGCTGGAGAGCACATCGGGCGACGAATTCTTTCCACTGTTGCCGGTCTTGTGCAATCATTTCTCCTTCATTCCTAGAAACATTCATGATCTTGAAATCATTCTCGAACGTTCGTCTCCACGTGTTTCTGGGACGGCCTCTTCCTCGCTTGGCGCCTGGAGGTATCCAGTTCATGGCCACCCTTGGAACTCGTTGTGGTGTCATGCGCAAAATATGGCCAGCCACTCGAAGCCTACGCTGTGCCGGCAACTCGAGCCACAACGGCGTAAAACTTTCTCATTGGTGACGTGATCCATGTAGCGTATTTTCATATCCGGCGTAGCTCCTCTCGTGGTAAAAGCATTCATCCCTCTAATGCAGAGTTACTTTTCCAAGTTTCACTTGCATATAGTGCAGTAGGAATCACGATGGAGTAGTACAACCGCATTTTGATCTTCTGCGATATCGATGAACTGGCCCATATTGGCTGAAGTCGCCGGAAGACGGCGGCAGCCTTCGCGATCCGAATGCGTACGTCAGTTTCGGCATCACCATTGTGATTGTCATCTTCGGCTAGAAGTGCTATATCGTCGGCAAAATCCAAATACGTGAGTCTATTCTGATTAGACCAACTGATGCCTGCCCTCACTTGGGAGAATGAGAGAGGAGACATTCCAACTATTCAATAGGATAGTCTTAAGGAATCTTCCACGGACCATGGACCAGTGGGCGGGACCGGAAGTTTTTGTGACGAAATGCATGGTAGGTACGGATCCACGTGTCGAACGCACGAACGTGAACAGGATTCACTTCAAACCTTCCCATGAACGTGGATCCGTACCTACCATGCATTTCGTCGCAAAACCACTTCCGGTCCCGCCCACTGGTCGGGGGGAATTCCTTAAGCATTGTTCGACCACAAGGTGTCATTTTATGATTGTTACGATGCTCTCTGAAAAATAAAACTATTTTGTGCATTCTTTCACCTCCAAGAAGTTTTGACGCCACAGGTGGGAAGGGGATACAGCGAAAGGTGCTAAGCTTACACAGGGAATGGGAGATTCCGGCGGTTGGTGGGTGATCAATCTGGGCATTATATAAACCATAACCTTGGTGTGTCGATTTGTTTGTGTGTATGTGCGTAAGCATGTCTGTCTGTTCGTGCCCAAAATGAAGTGTGTGAAGAAGGCAGCAAATGGAACTAATCAGCCGCTAACAAATCTCGCAGGATTTGCTCATCAATGTTTTCCAATGGCATGGTTGCGATAACGCCCCCATCGGCTATATAAATACCAGCTTTGCACTCTCGGTCATTCCCATGGTGCAGCAGTAGCAGCTGCAGAGCAGTGGAAGGGGAAGGAGAGGGTAAGGGAGGAGGAGGATTGCAAAGCTTACACAGGAAAGGGAGGATGCGGCAGCTGTCGGGGGCCAATACATACATGCATATATACAGACATACATACAAATGACACACATAGTTAGGGTTTCTAGAACAGAACGACTGGGGAGACGTAACGGTTGACCCTGACTGTAGATCTATGGCCAGTTCTGTTCAAAATCACTATGTTCTTCTTTCAGCTATCATTTTTACCTCTCCTTTGAAAACTCAATTTGTAAAGATTATATCACAGAGAAGCTATGGAATCATGGTTATATGCACTATGTTGTACCGATAGTGTTAAAGGTGAGATCTGTGATTCTCTGTGATGAATTACAATATTAGGTTGATTGATTTGAATGTCTCGGTTTCCCAGTTGAAAACACAATCTCTCACAGCAGGAGGCCTCTCTTTCGAAGGAGGTCTCGAATGGACATTTTGAAATCGTAGGTGCTAGCAGGACGAATATCGGTCGAGAAAATCTTCGACGGTGGGGTCGGATTTGCCAGGATGGCCCATGGGCGGTCGTACTCGTGGGGTCACTAACGAGCACATAAATGGCATCGTAGTGCAGGTAGGAAAGCGGACGCTGTAAGGGATGTCTGATCCTCATATGTGTTGGGGCCTACCGAGCCTAGTTGACAGACGTGTAGTTCTCGAAACATCAAACCATCTGTCTCAACTACGATCATCAAGACTTGAGCTATTCATCATAGATGACGAGTTACCCCATATAGAAGAAAAAGAAAAAAGAGGAACTTCATTGGCCTGTTAAGATTGACCCTTAGAGAGTCAGATGACGTGCACCATCGCAGTGCCTGGCTTTTCGATAGAAGTCGCTAGTGTCATGAAATTCCGAAGGCGGAGCATTCTACATCTGCATCCATCTTCCGACATACACCAAAATCATAGGATTGAAGCTCCGACTCAATGTTGCACATAGATCTTTGTAACGTTCACTAGCATTGGGATTATACTCACTCGGCTGCAGCGTACATAGCAAGGATGCTGGGAGCTTACGCTATGGACCACGAAGCACCCAGTAGGTCAGGATCGGCCCAAAAAACAATAAGACCATCACCTGGATTTCGCCCTTCTTCTTCTGTCGCTTTTTTCTTTATTATTTTATTTATTTATCAATTTCAATACACTCAAAGGTGTGCACAATAATGGGAAGAGCAACATATGAAATACACTTGAACGATAGAATTTACGAAGATTTTTCGGCGATTTCTTTTGCGTTCCAATTTATTAGCTGAAGGCAGCATCTACAATTTCTCAATGAACCCCACTATAATGCTATCGTGAAATCTAAGTCTGCGGTTCGGTCTGCATCGAAGACGATCCTGTGTTTTCGATGACTTTGATTTACTATTTATAAGAGCACTCTAGGAAAAACTCGCTTAGCTTCCAATCCAACACTGAAGTCCAATCATCGTCGAAATCTGTTCTAGAGATCTATAGTTGAGCCATATGTTCCTCCGCACTCGTTTATTGCTGCCGATGATTTCAAGACTGCCAAAGGACCTTGCGAAGTACCTGCACTACCTTGTGGCTAACAGAACAGCCTATTTGTGAGTCGAATATTGATCTTTTCGGTAGGGGAACAGAAGGTGCGTGGTTCTTGCGAATTCGGAGTTGTTCTCACCTACACTCATATACACTTGCCTCTACAGACTTTCCGCCTACATATACTTAAGGTTTAAAGGCATGCCCCAGGATCGCACTGGTGTGGCTCTTGCACACGAATGTGAATGTATCGGTGCCAAGTGGGCCGGCAGTGAAGAAAAAAGGAAAAGAATCCGTCGAAAACGCTCAGGTTGAGGGCTCACTCACCTTCCTAATTGGCTGTGCTAAAGGAACGAGAGACTAAGCGCGAAGAGGAGAGTATGGGGCGAGAGAGCGCATCAGATGAGAGAGCACCAGACAACGGCCTGATAAGAGAGCTCGTTCGCTGCAGCTCGAGCAGCTTACTTTGCAAGCCCAAAGCGTTCTTGTCGGTCGAATTCCGTGCACGTGAACGCCACATTTGTGATTGTCCCCTAGGGTTCTATACTTCTGACCGAAGAGAAGAGTTATAAAAAACCTCTGCCTGGGTTGTGCCTTTAAAGGATACATTAGGATCAGCAAACACTCTGGTCCACTATATTTCGGAATAGCTTGCTGGAGAAATGATAATGAAGTTCTTCAAAGATTCTGGGGCCGGCGCGTTCACACAAACCGCAGCTTTTGAATATCCCCTGAATCCCGGCGACTTTCATTCAATTAAGACCACCTTCTTTGAAAGATGTAGAGGTCTTCATTCCTTGGGATCCACACGACAAGTAGACGAGGGGGCAGTGCGTCATGAAGTGGGTGAGATTCCAAGGACCACATTCCGAAAACGTCCCCATTCCCTTGCCGATGTGGCTGGCCGCCCATCAAGTGCTTCCCTATGACTTCAGGGACAGACTCTCTGGCCCGACCTTCTAGGGGGACCATGTCGGATATCCGAAGAGCAGGGGCGCGAGTATTGTTGTTCGAACGATTTTCTTGTCCTTACATCGCTTCTCTCCAGGGTTACAAAATAGCCACCCATACACAGATGTGATACGATAGACAATACGTACTGAATGTTCGTTTTACCGTTGGCTAGCGTTATTTCACCTAACCGTTTTCGTGAGGTGACACATGACGGGGAATGAAGAGATTCGAAGAGAAAGTAAAGTTAAAGTCTATTACTTGTAGGGAATATTTCAAATGGAGGCTGGATTACCGCGTCATTTTTCTCGACGGTGAACGCCACAACAGCTTAGAGCGACCATGGGGGCTCTGCCAAGTACGTGAATCTTCCCAAAGCAAAGGAACATTCCACGATTATGGGATATGGGTGGAAAGACGGGGACAGAGAAGGGGTCACTTATGAATCTCAGCTGTTTAGTGGCTTATGATTAGTAGAGAAGGAGAGATATGCTCCTGAATAAGACCCCTTCACATGCATTGTGCGAAAGGTGGGATGCCGGGACAGGAACCAAACGATTGGGACACGATAAGGGGCGAGTGGATGAAGACGTCAACTAATACCCCATTCACACTCAATCTACTGTGGATCCCCACTCACTGGGCGTTTCCAAGCATAATAAACGCCGCTGCCATGAACTGCAAAATCCTCTTGAGCACGGCGCTTTGCCCTTCTTACAAGGGGGTCTTTCAGGGCAAGCCGCGCTTTTTGGAAACGGTTTCTTGCATATTGTAGGGACGCATGTATGGACCACAAAACCATGTTTCGTTTTCGCTGAACGGTTTTAGTAGTACCAAAAAAGTGGTGAATGATACCCTTGATGGTTCGATCCCCCGCGGCGACTAAATTTTGCAATCAAGGTTGGCGGCCACTTGTTGGCTTCAAAATGGTCCTGACGATGAATATGACATCTGATTTTGACATTTAGCGCGATTTGGCACCAAACCGTAGGCGCCAACCCAAATGCAAAATTTAGTCGCCACGGGGATCGAACCATTAACAGTACCTTATGCTTCTTTTTTGGTACTGCTAAAACCGTTCAGCGAAAATGAAACATGGTTTTGTGTTCCCTACATGCGTCCCTACAATATGCAAGAAACCGTTTTGAAAAAGCGTGGCTTGCCCTGAAAGACCTCCCTTGTTAGGGAGATGGTCGATCGTGGAATGTGCCTTCACCTATGACTTTTGGAGTCTTGTTGCGGATTTGTCCTACTAATGTTATTTTTAAGCTTTGCCGCCTTATATGGGAGAAGCCGAGGAAACAGTACAGCATCAACGGTAAGTTAAAACTATATTTCTTTGAAGGGAAAAAAACGCCAACTTCAAGGTTCTTTTGTAGAATAGACCTTGATAAAGTGTGTTTTTAGTTATCGTTGATAAAATATTGAGACGTTCGAGATAATTTCAGCGCATGCCATAAACGTGGCACTTCCCTGCATTGTGCACATTCATACAGGGCAAAGCTCAAAATAGTTTTGTAACCTTGAAGTGTCATAAATTTGTTGAACTATGTAGGAGGTGTTGAGTGGCGATGTGTTCCATAGAGAGACTTCATGAGATTTCGTGGGACCAACGAAAATTGAGAGTTACCCTTTCGTTCCAGACAACCCAGCAGCGCGAGTGAGACCCACCTGCATTGATGTAGAGATCAGCGTGCTCTCTCAAACGACGTGCTCTCTCGCGTATTTTGTCTTCTTTGACCGCCCTTTCTCGCCATCGTACCACATCCGACCTTTTGAAGGTTAAGGCCTTAATTTCAGCGTTCCAAAGATTTCTCTTGCTTTCCTTTCCACTTTCAGGTCGTTCCGCAGCTAAGCTATCACTACAGAGCGCTGATAGCACCAGTCCAATCCCGGAGTTTGCCTTTAATCACACTTTGCCTGACTCGAACCGACTGCTTTCCTAATTACTATCAAAGAGCACATCCCAATCTATCAATAGACATTAAGATAGCTTCCTGCATCAATGTCATCACAAGAATTTGCCATAGGAACCTTGTGCACTCAACGAATTACGGACCATTACGATAGTATCTGAAATACTAGTCGGAAGAGGGTTGCATATTCAGAGCTTTTGTTCCTAGAAAGCAATCTAACCGAACCCGATTCGAGGAAATTCATAGCAGCTTCAGGCTGGAACGATTACGGTAGCCTCTTGAGCTCAACGGTGATGGAAGATGACGTCATATTTTGAAGACGGTGAGGGCAGTGGAAGGAGGGCCTGCTTCTGTTTATGGAGGACATCTAAGGGATATTTTGCGCAAAACTTTCACCAACAGCGACACCCTGTGCCACAAAATGCCGCTAATTTTGATGCTGGTTGCTCCATACAGAGTTACTAATTAATAATACAGAATAATATTCCTCATAGAACATGTGAGGAAGCGTGACCACGGGTCGATCTTGGTGCTGCCAACATCGCCTTTTTCTATCAGCGCCAGTGCTGCGGCAAACAACGGAGGGTATGGCTTGCAGACAAGGTTACATTGCAGGCCAAGAGAGCTTTTGGCGCCTTTGTTTCGCACTCACAAAGCTGCAGAGCAGTGTAACAACAGCGCCTTTTCGCCAGATTACCGTGGCCGGGGATGGAACAGGATAAATCCTAGGCCATGCCTTTCAAAACAGTTCCCTTCCTTTTTTTTCTAAAAATGGTACTTGGGATGGTAAGAAAGTCCTGAGCCGATTTTTCGAAAGCTCCAGAACTTTCGCTTATTGATCGATACCTAGAATCTGCTACGTGATAGATTATCGCTGTCGATCATACTTCTCCGCAGTAGGTATATATTGCCGGGTTGCCTTCTTTAACTTTAATCATGATGTCGATTCCACAAGAGCACTTTCGAGCGATCATCTTCAATGAATGGCGCTGCGGCACAGGAGCAGTGGAAACCGTCAACATTATCAGCATCGCATTGGGAAGGGACACCACTTCCATCATCAGTGCCAAGCTCTGGTTCGCAGGCTTCGAGGAGGAGACACGGCTTCCGAAAGACAAGACAAGGTTGGGAAGCCCCCAAACAGTGGAAGACTCCACCGTTCTCGGCGCTGTCGAAGAGGATCCGGAGGTTAGCACCCGCAGCCTTGTGATAAGACTCGGGTGCACCCATCCCACAGTCCTCGGTCCCCTCCACGCCCTCGCCACAGGAAAGTGCCGACTCGATGGATCCCTCATGTCTTGACCGATAGCACGCGGTTCAGGCGGGTACCCATTTGTCAGTTTCTCCTTCTTTGTCCGCACCGAAAGTTTTTTGGAAGGCATGATTACGAGAGATGAGAGTTGGGTCCTCCACGACATGTTGTATTATGAGCCGCTCCGCAAGGGCATACCGTTACCGGCAGCATTTACGCCAGTCAGCTCCAGAAACTAGCGGACGCTGTTCAAGAAAAACGACCGAGACGAACTTCTGTCCACCTACTCCACGATGACGCCAGGCCCCACATAGCTAAAGAGACCCGTGCAAAATTGGAAGAGCTGATCTGGGACGCGGTTCCCCACCCATCCTATTCCCCTGACATTGCCCTCTCTGATGACTATCACTTACTTCATCCCCTCAGGCATTCCTAGCGAAGAAAAAATTCACCAAAGTTGAAGACGTTGAAAGAGCGATGAGCGATTTCTTTGACTCTCAGGTCTGCTCAGTTCCGAGAGAAGGGAGTCGCCGACCTGCCCGTTAGGTGGAACTCTGTAGTGAGCAACAAGAATGGGTATATTGGTGAGTAATTCCATTGTACACGGAATAAGGAAGTGAAGCAAAAACTCAGGACTTTCTTACCATCCTAGTGCTCAGCTATTAAAAAATAGAAGTTTGTTTAGTTCCCATTTTTTTAGAGTTTACTATGGAGTGGCAAGAATCGTGTGAAGAACCGATACTGGACGACACAAGTATGCGCCCTCTACCTCGGCATTTTAAATATGTCTACCGTGAATAAGCAACAGAGAAAAATTACTTCTCACTCCTTATCAATTTACCATACTTAATGATAGTACCAAACAAAAAGGCAAGGCGAAATGGACAAGGCGGCTGTCGAATGAAACGCCATTGTCACAAGTTGGGCTTATGTGGCATAATTAGGCATCATATGTCATACAGCTCCACTGTCATTGAATTTTTTACGATTTGGTTTTGGAGTCATTCATGAGCCTTTTAAGGGATCAATTTCTTCAGCTGTGATTTTTTTCTTCTGGAACTCACTCATCTTTTCGAAATGTGACTATAAATGAACCTTTGAATAAAATTTGAAATGGTGTGCCTTTTCTCTCCGTAAATTGATAACATGAGAAAGGACAGTGCTTCCTAAGTCTTCCTAAGTCCAAGATCAAGGTCAGTCTCATCGTGAGTAATACAAGCTGCAAAATATGATACCTGCCAACTAGTCAAGTAATATTGCTGTGCCACGTCCGTAGCTCTACTGTTGCCTACATCGGGTGTCCCCCAAAAGGCCCGTCGCGCTGCGAAGGAAGAGACGCAGACGCGGCATAGGACGAGTCGCAGCGCGTGCTGTGCGATATGACACGTAAGTATGGTACACTCTACTTTAAACTGACGCTTAACCGCTACAGTATGCGCTGCGTGAACCTCGTCCTTTGCCTCGCGTCTCTGGCGTTCTTCCCCTTGCCGTGGCGGCGGGCCTCTTGGGGGACCGCCTCCAGCATCAAAATATGCTGTCGTTTTTGCTGTTTTGGCAACCAGATATCTATTGCTTGATAACTGTTCACCTCAACCTCAACTATGACAGGCCGTCTCGTCCAAAGGGAAGATCAGTGATAAGAAAGAAGGGTCTAAAAATCAGGGGAAATTGCTAGCGGACCTCCTGAGGGTGCTGAACCGCCGAACAGCGCAATGTTGACAAAACGAAAGATTTGAGCTCGCATGGCTCGTTTCGGGCCGCGCGTTGGCGGTACGCCACCGCGGCAATTCTAATCCCGTCGCTGGCAGGTTCTAATGCGTGGCGAGGTGTTTGATCAGTAGAGTAAGAGCGGTAGCGTTGAAAGAGCAGCGCAGGCGATGAGAGGCGCATCAATGCGCAAATCAACGGGCAAGGAAGGGGTCCAATTTCTTGGGTTTCGGACCTTTTCAAATGGTATCTTCTTCATCCCTGCTCCACTGACCACCTCCACCCTTATTTCCAATGAACTAAGCTTTCATCGTTATTCTGCCCTCATCCAGACGGTAAGCACACGAAGTGCTTGTGAACTTTATGAATACCTTTCAATCGAGACAATCCCAGAGAGGAATACCAAACTATATAAAAACTATACGCATAGAAATCGAAACGGACAACGGCGGAGCTGAAATAGTATGAGCACAAGCGAGC